CCACTGCGGCTGCTACTGCTGTTGCTACTGCTGCTGCCACTGCTGCCACTACTAACTACTACTACTACTACTGCTGCTGCTACTACTACTACTACTACTACTACTACTACTACTACTACTACTACTACTCTCGACTATTACTACTACTCGACAACTACTACTACTACTACTACTACTGCAACGTGCCGGGAAACGACAAATCTGTATGCCAATCTTACAATCTTGGTCTGTGTGGGGGTGCTGCAAGATTGGTGCGAAAGCTTGCCCAGAACCACTTGCACCACTTGGGCGACCTGATGTAGTACTCCTCCTGCTGCTACTACTACTACTACTTCTACTACTACTCCTCCTCCTACTACTACTACTACAGGAGTACTTCACTAGCTACTACTTTACTACTCTAGTGCTGCGGCTGCTACTACTACTACTACTACTTCTTCTACTACGGGAGTACTTCACTAATTACTACTTTACTACTTTACTACTCTACTGCTGCGGCTACTACTACTACTACTACTACTACTAGTTCTTCTACTACGACTACGACTACAGCTACGACTACTACTACTCCTATTACTACCACTACTACTGCTACTACTACTACTACGACTACGACTACTACTACTACTACAACTGCTACCACTGCCACTACTACTACTACTACTACTACTACTACTACTACTACTACTACGACTACTCCTACTACTACTGGTACTACTACAACTACTACTACTGCTACTACTACGACTACTACTACGACTACCACTACTACTAAGTTACTACTACAACTGCTACTACTGCTACTGCTGCTACTACTACTACTACTACGACTACTACGACTACTACTACTACTACTACTACGACTACGACTACTACTACTACTACTACTACTACTACTACTACTACTACTAATACAGTACTACTACTACTACTACTACTACTACTACGACTACTACTACTACTACTACTACTACTACTACTACTACTACTACTACTTTTTGGCTCCCACTTGTCGGACTCTTGCGATTCCGCGCTGCAGGCAACAGGTCACTCACTATGCCACGGGCTCCCGATACCCTGCTCTCTACGGACACTAAGTGCCATGTTACACCATACGGAGACAGCGAGATGCAGGGGAACTCGAGAGCCACGTGGGCCGGGCGGCGGCTTCAGGTGCCCTTAGCCCTAGGTTCAAGGCAGTCCACAGTGCAAGGGACGAACAGCACGTTGTTTCAGTACTCGGTTGGCAAGTCGACTATGGTACCCGCGGCAAGGGCAAACGACTCAAAGTGACCCGAAGACAACCATTACTACTTGAACTCCAGAAGCATGCGCTAGAAACACAAAATCAAGTCACCTGAGTCGCCACTTACCGTCCGGTCGGGTTCGACTGCTGCTACCACACCACAGCTCGTCGTCAATCGAAAAAAGGCGCTTTACTTAGGCACAGTGCAGGAAGGCCTGGTGCGATCATCCGTCAAGTTACGGCTGCTGTTGAACACGAAACCCAACACATACAAACAATACCGCATATGCTACTACCGACCGTCCAACCAGACCCATCCACACCAGCCACTCAGTACTAGCAAGGTCGTTCGGAAGGATTTGGCTGCTATCGCGACATCAGCAAGGCGTAAGAAAACCCGGCACACCTGTCCTAAGCCTAGGGGTGACATTGAACACAACCCGGAACGCATCACACCATCAAGCATGCGCTAACGAGAGCAGCTGTGCCAGGCTCTCTCGCACTCACTGTGGCGGTAATCTCAGAATCACACCGTTCGTAGTCTGCATCGCACTCAGGCTTGTACTAACGAGGGCAGTTGCGCCAGGCTCGCATGCAGTCACTGTGGCGGCAATCTCAGAAACACATGTGGCGGCCGCAAAACGAGCTTTCCAGTTCAGCAGATGGACTCTGTCGGAGAGGCATAGGCAGCTGTGACAACCCTGTCGCCATCGTAGTTTTGCGTACACTCCACTGCGAAGCAGGGGCACAAGGGATCGCGCAGGCCATCACACGATCAGAAGTACGAGCTCACGATCACCCTGTTGCTCGGTCAGTTCGTCTGCCAGGTGTTGGTTGTGTAAGCCATCCTCGCCGTCCCTCTATACTTTTTTGTGCATATTGTATTTCTGGAGGGTCCTTGCATCAGTGCGCCCATCCAGGTTCCACGGCATCCAAAGCATCTCAGCCAGAAAGAGCGAGACAAACTCGCAAACAGGCACGTCGGCTCGCTTCGGTGCAGCAAAGGCCAGTGAGTCATGAAGCGACTCCGAAGTCGTCACCACAGAATCTGGCCAAGAGTGAAAGAGCAGGGCCATAGCATCAGCGTTGCCCACCCAGGTGACACGGCGTCCAAAGCATCTTAGCCAGTAAGAGCGAGACAAACTCGCCAACAGGCACGTCGGCTCGCTCCAGTGCAGTAAAGGCCAGTGAGTCATGAAGTGACTCCGAAGTCGTCACCACAGAATCCGGCCAGGACTGAAAGAGCAGGGCCATGGCGGCGTCGGCGCAGGGTTAGTGGTTTGCTTAGGGGGGAGACAAGGTGATGAACACACATAGGGGCATTACCGGGTCGGAGGCTACATCGAGAGACCCCGACAATCAGACAGATGCAGAAGCATGACGCGAGGGAATGACGAGAGGTGACAGAGAGCGAAGCGAGACAGTAACATCATGACAGTGCAAGACGCAAGTAGGGGCAAGGCAGTGCAAGGAGCAGGCAGTGCAAAGGAAATCAGTACCGGCAGGGTTTTTTTTGTGTTTTGGGGGTACTGCTGCCAAGGTGCCGTCGGTCCTGGTACAAGGCGTCCATGTTTTACACACGGGGTCTAGGATGCACGGCTAGTGGGGGCACAACTGCTCTATTGCTCTTGGGAATCCTCGACTACCACGACATCATGCAGGTCAAGAACGGGTTGGTGCTGACTAAAGAAGGCCTTGATTTGGGTTCGCTTGAGGCGGGGTAGGGAGCCATGTAGGGCAATGTGCAACTGCAGGGGTGACGGGAGGGGAAAACCTAGGTTCCGAAGGTCAGTCTGAACTCCTGAAGAAAGCACCGAAGACTGAAGGACAGAAAAGGCAACTAATATGAGCCGCTCTTGCAGTCTACTGGGGTCTTGGAGGTGTCCTGCATGCAGCTGGTTCCTGGCGTTGAACGTGAAAGGCTTTCGGAGTGGCACCACCCGTCCTGCTAGGCTGGCTCCTAGGTGGTCCTTGTAGATGGTCCCCGCAGGGTCCTGTATCCACAAGCCGTCGTGTTGCCAGTCAGGCGTGTCCAAAGCAATCACAAGCGAGGGAATCGGAGCGTTTCTGACATCACGATGGACTCGGCCTACACAACCCCTTCGAATGACATACGTGGTGTAGTTGTGGAGTGGAGCAACCCAACGCAGGTGGTTGTTGACCATAACATTAAACAAAGGTAGGTCTAAGGAGTGTGTCAGGACGGAGTCACGGCATCGTGGACTTGCACCTCCTACGACATAGAACCCCTGGCCACCATCTGCCCGTTTACGATAGCTAGCAGGAATCATATCGAAAACACGCCTGATGTCAAGTTGGCAGGGAGGCCTATCGAGTCGGAGGACCTGTAGGGCTGCTTCTTCTACATGACGTACTCGGTAGTCGCTATGATCAGGATGCAGGGAGGGGAATGTCGTAAAATCGCAGCCTTCAGCAATGCGCGGGGCCTCGAGGCTCTGTACTCCAGGTAATTTTGGGGTCCTGAGGTCGATTGCATCACTCGGTGGAGGCTTGAGCTGTGGAAAGGACATGGTCTGGCGACACGGGGTCTGGCGACACGGGGTGGGGTGCCCTCCTACCTGTGAACCGACAGGCTGAGACCACGAACAAGCTCAGCAAAGAGACCCTGGCCTAGAATGCTACAGACAACTGGCATGTCTTCGGCACAGCACTTGTGTCGGGCTGGTTTTCGACACGACTCGATGAGCATCCAGCGCGTACAGTCCAGAGATTGGCAAGGAAAGGAAACAGGCAGTGCAAGGAGAGTGCAAAGGAAAGGAAGGCAGTACAAAGGCCAAAGGCAGTGGCAGGCAGCAGCAGTGCGACAGTCATCAGGATCAGTTCGCTCTTGTCAGGGAGTGCAGTGCCACCAAGCAAGGTACCAAAACAATGCTAGGAGCGTGAAAAAGTCGAGGCAGTTCCTGATCCTTCGTCGCTTGCTGAAAATGCACTGCGATTTCAGACCACGGCTCCACCTACTACTACTACTACTACTACTACTACTACTACTACTACTACTACTACTACTACTACTACTACTACTACTACTACTACTACTACTACTACTACTACTACTACTACTACTACTACTACTACTACTACTACTACTACTGCTTACTCCTGCCACTGGCACCACCACCACCGAGGCTGCTGCTGCTTGTTGCTATCCGACCGCTACAAAGACAAATTCTGTTAGCGCAGGACAGCTACAACACAACAGGCATCATCATCACAATGGTCATGCCCTGCACCATCAAGCGCATCCCCGCCAACAACACCCGGGGAAATCCTGGAACCCTAAGAGCAAGCACTCGGCCACAAACGGCAAACGCATCTTCCCTCCTTCTAGGATGAACAAGCAGAAACAATCGAGCAAGACCTACCACTGCATAGAACGAAAGAGAGAACAAGGGAGATCTGCTCAGACAAACAGAAGACATGTGCGTCGACTTGACAAACAATCTTCCATCACGGCACCCCAATCAACAGCGCGGCCAGAGTTCGGTGGTTCAGTGGCACCTGCACAAGCACCAAGAAATCCAAAGCAAAGCTTTTTGCATATTGGGACACTGCGCTCCTGGAATATGAACTTCGCGTGCCAAGTGAGAGGAAGCAGTTGTTCGAGGGATGATGACTTCGTGCAAACTCTCGCGTTCACGAAAGATGCACAAGCGTGTTTACGTTGTGCATCAACACTTGAGAAGTCAGCCGGGGCAGACCAAAACTCGAAGAAACCCAACCCTTCTTTTAGCAAGCCTGAAATGGACAAACCCTGAACCCCCCAAGCCCTTTTGACACTGGGCTTGCTGGCTGCCAGAATATATGACCCTCCGACGTGTTGCCAAGGATCGCGAAAACATCCAAGCCCTTTTCCCTAAACCCTGTCACCCCAACGTTGCAGGTTGCCAATGTAGGGTTTCGGCACACGATGTCGGACCTGAGCTGATAACGGATGAGTCAGTTGACAACTAGGTACCCGATACTTCAAAATCCGAACCCTGGAATCCACAACTGAAAGCTCAAACCAAGACCGTAACGACAAAGCATACCCGGCATACCCTGAACCCCACGGCATGACGGCCATAATTGAGCCCAAGGCCTAAACTCCCTAAGCCCTACGGGAGGTCACAAAATCATAAGAATTCACGTCCTAATCTGCCGAAAACACACAACTTCAGCCCTACCCCCAAGCCGCCCAAGCCCCTTTTGGCAACCAGAAGCACTGAGCCCCAGAAATTGTCGCCGGCGACAGGTTCAGTAATGTCCGTACTGTGAAGGCCCGATCAGAGACTTCAGAAATGGTGTGGTATCGTAGGTGTACTCCAAGGCTTAGGGAAGGCGCTGGTGACAGAGGGCTCTTAAATTACCAGCAGGGTTACTGTATGGATGCGGGGTTGTAGGGGCAGACAGGGTACAGGGTTGATGGTTCTGTCAAGGTTTCTGGTTTAAGAGCTTATTGGGCTCGGGTCTAAGGATGTTGGGTCTTGAGGCCGTTAATTGATTGTAAACAGCTTAAAACTCAACAAAACCCGTGGATGCTTGCTAGAAACTTGCAACACCCTGGTAGAAGCAGGTGAGGGCTGAAAGTTCCTGGTTGCTGCCTGCCTCCAAGAGCAATGACTCAAGGATGGCAGTGCAGAAAGGGCCTGGCTTTCGGATTCAACATAAATAATTAGAACAAGGTTTCGGGTCACAAAAAAGGAATAGTACAATAATCCTAAAAACCATATAGAAGTAAGAGTACAGTAACTTACCATGAGGACCCCTGAAACCCTTGAGGTGGAATAGGCAATTATGAATTCAGGCCCCCCACATTAGAGGCCTCCAAGTTACCGGAGTTGGCACACAGAGTTTTGGGTTGTAATTAAGGGCGTGCGGCTCTGAATAAGCGGTTTACAGTACGGGCCTTCAGGACTCAAACAGAGTGCTCTTGCTTCCTCTCCTTCAGTGTTGTAAGGGAGCCCAGGAGCAGGCACAAGATCTTTAACAAAAAACCTCTCGAATCGGCCCATGATCCGCTCCTACATGCAATGGATAGCCACAGCTGCCGTAACAAATGTTAATGGCTAGCCTGTGTCATCCGCATAAACAGGACGGTCTAAAGCCCTCAATCACGTATTCCCGACAATCGCTTCTCTGTGCCAACGTGTCTCTGAAGTCTTTCCGACATCGACAAAAGTTTACCTCCTGTGCGGCATGTTTACTTTAACCACGCGCATACTGTGCCACTGTGTGGGCCCATCTCAAATCTAGGTGCATGCTCCAAGATGGTAATAAAAGGAAAAGGAAAACCCTGCAGGCTCGCCTACGGCTTGGCCTTCCCTGCCTTCTTCACTCACTCGCTCTCTCGCTCCCTCTTGTTGTCTCTCGCTTTCTCTCTCTCTCTCTCTCTCTCTCTCCGTCTCTCTGTTCGTCTATGTCCCACAGTAGACTTTTGAAGGCATAATTTCAGACATTCCTGAAGCAGATGAGGAACACTGCTCACTAGCCAGTTCACTGAATCTCATGCCACCGTGACACCCAAGTTCTTGCCCACGACGACCATTGGCACATGCACCCTTCTCAGTCCCACTAGGCTGCTGGTCCTCAGCTGCTATGGCGGGACTTGCCACTGCGTGGTTTATCGGACGTTCATACAGTACTTGTTGCTGCAGCTGTTGCTGTTGTTGCTGCAGGCACAGCGGCACAGCTGTTCATGCTGGTCATGCTCACGGAGGTGATGTCAATGTTATGATGGCAGCGAGATGGTGATGAAGATGGGGAGTGATGGTGAAAGTAAAGACGATGATGGTGATGACCGATGGCGGTAATGATGACTGATAGTGATTGATAAAATGGCAGTGCTGCTGATGAAGCTGATCATAAGGCGATTCTGATGACGATGATAACGATGATGGCATGACCACGTGCTTGCTGATGCCGCCAAAGTCGTCTTTCAGTTGCGGCAAGGGTGCTTGCTTTGCTGATACTCTGTCAGATCATCTAAACAACCATTGAGATTGCAAATATGAGCCGTGTTTGGGCACAAACGACGATAGGACAGAGTGCTGATAATGACGAGGATGGTGATGACGACGCTGGTCATGAGCATGGTGGCGGCAGTGCTGGTGAATGTGCTGACGGTGGCGCTGCAATTGTCACGTGGTGGTGGTGGTGGTGGCGGTGGTGGCGGTGGTGGCGGTGGTCGAATGGTGATGGAGACGGTAATTAAGGCTCTTCTTCTTCATGGTGAAAATGATGGCGGTAGTGCTGCT